GCAGAGCAGTCATAGTCTTGCCCTTGATGCCCTCAAGCAGCATGCAGACAACCCTGACCCTGACTCTAGCTGGGGAAAGTGCAGGCCTAGGGTTGACCCAAACCCTGACTCTAGCTGGGGGATCTGCACCCCTAGGGTTGACCCTGACCCTGACCCTAGGTGGGGGATGCGCAGGCCTAGGGCTGACTCTGACCCTGACCCTAGCTGGGGGATGCGCACAGGCAGGGTTGGTGATGATGAGCAGCCTGTGATGACTTTGACAGACCCAGACGCAGACTGTAGCATCCCAGCAGCCCTCTGATGCTGCCTGCAGCGTGCCAGAGCAGCTGCAGAGTATCTGGAAGTCATCCACAGTGCGCCTCACTTCTGATCAAAAATCCCAAGGGGGGGGCCTTGACAGCTTGGCCATTTTGGTCTGTTTTGCCAACTATCTCAGATGATGAGCAGGTGGTATGAGGCTGCTACTGGTGCATAGCCCTGGTCCAGGAGAGCGTGTAGGTAGCTTCATATGCCTGCCATCTTGCCTATTGAGCTCGTCATCATCCGTGCAAGTTTTGTTCCCACGGTCTTGCAGATGACATCGAGCACCATCTGGGAAACGTATGACTCCCAAATCTTCTCTGGAGTCCTTTCTGACTCTGATCCACCTGCTGGTGCAATAAAAGTCCCAAAGGCTTACCTCTGAAGGGGCGCTACTTAGTAAATTCAGGTACTTTTTGCACTTGCGTCTGAGTGAAGTACCGTAAATATCCAACCCTCCGCACTTCTTTTCGTGGAGCATGTGCATCAGCATACTGGCTACATTTTGACATAAAAAAAAGTTCCAACCCCTGCTGGGGAACCCCTTCTAACCCTAAGGCCGCGCAGAGTCTCCTTGCCATCCAGCGCAGTCTGCAGTTCCTCGGCCAGCTTGCTGCACCGCTGCTCCTCCTGGGCCAGCTCTCCGTTGCAGAGCTCGAGCGTAGATGTGGCCGTTCTGAGGTCAAGGAGGTGGCGGCCGAGGGATGTATGCGCAGTCTTGAGAGCGGCCTGCGTCTTGGCGTGAGCTGCCCGCTCGTCGGTGAGCTTGCCGGCGTAGTTGAGCCTGCGGAGGCCGGCGAGCTCTGTGGCAGTCTGCTGCTGCTCCTCGGTCTTGCTCTCAAGCTGCTGCGTGGCCGTCTGCAGCTTGCCAGCGGTGGCCTGCTGCTTGGTGGTCTTGCTGCGGAGCTGGCCTGCCGTCTCGTCAAGCTGCTGCTTGGCGGACTGCAGCGCGGCAGCCGTCTGCTCCTGCTTGAGCGAGAGGTCCTTGAGCTGGCCAGTGACGGTTTCGAGGCTGGTGGCGGTCTGCTGCTGCTCGGCGGCCTTGCTATTGAGCTCGGTGGTCCCGCCCTCTAGCTGCTGCTGCAGCTCGCCGTTGTCTGCGGCCATCTGCTGCTGCTGGCCGGTGATGATCTTGAGCTTCTCCTCAGCCGTCTGCAGCGCTGCAGTCTTGTCCTTGAGCTTGCCGGCGAGAGACTGCTGCTCCTGCTGCGCGCGGCTGAGCTGGCCCTCCATCTCCCTTCTGCGTGCGGCCTGCTGGCTCTCTGCCGCCCGCCAGCCCCGCCGCTCCTTCTGCAGGCGGTTCTGGCCGTCCACACGCTCTATCTGCTGCGTATGAGCAGATGTATGCGCATATATGCGGGCCTCTCACCATCTTTGCATGCCTCTCATCATCCAGCGCCTGGCTGCCCGCCTCCAGATCCACCAGCGCTCCAAACAGCCGCCCAGCCAGCATGCCCAGCTCTGCACGCAGCTGCAGCACCCCGCGCTGCTCCTCCTGCACGCGGTTGTCTGCTGCAGCGCGCTCATTCTCCGCATTGTTGGCGCGCTGCTCTGCGTGGCGGACGGACGCTCGCACCTGCCTAGGTCAGCGCATATATGCAGCAGGACGTGATAATATGCTATACCTGGGGGAGCAGTGCGCTGCTCAGCTCCTCCACCACCGCAGAGAGGCTGCCCTGCCGCGGCGCGGCCTGCGAGAGACAGCGCAGGCGGGTGAGCCAGTCCTGGCCGGCGTGGCGCGTGTACTGCGCAAGGAGCAGCCCGCCCGCCAGCGCACGCCCGCCATACTGCGGCATGAGGGCCAGCAGGCTGTCATACGCGGCATTGATGGCGCGCCAGCCGCCGCGGGAGTCATGCTGGGCATGGGAAGTGAGGAGATAGTCAGGCATGGATTAGGACATGGTGGTGGTGGGAGGCAAGATGCGGTGCGCGCGGCATGCACTGGCAGATCTTCTGGTCGCGCCGCGCCGACCGCTCACACCACCACCACCCGCGCTAGGCTGCGCTTCCCGCTCCCTTTGCGCGCGCTCCCCGCCCTCTGCGCCTCGCTCTTCACGGCTCACTCCCCGCTTTGCGCTTCGTTTGCCGCTCACACCGCCTGCAAGCTGCACTAGCCGCCCCACCGCCACGCTTGCCGCTTTGCTTGCCGCTCGACCGCTCACACCACCACCGCGCTTCTCCCCGCTTCGCTCCCCGCTCACGCATCACGCTCCACGCTTCACCCGCCGCTCGCCACCACTCTCCGCACTTCACGCTTTGTCCTCCCGCACTTCACGCTTAGCCATCACGCTTTGCCCGCCCGCACTTCACGCTTTGCCCCCGCTGGCACGCTTCCCTCGCCGCTCTCCGCCCTTCACGCTTCACGCTTCACCTCCACCCGCCCCCCAAGCCGCTCGGCCTGCCGCTCGGCCTGCCGCTTGCCTTGCCCGACGCCGGGCTTTGCTCCCGCTCGACCACGGTCCACGCTCCACGCTGCACGCTCGACACTTCACGCCTCTACTTCGCTCCACGCTGCACGCTCCGGGCTTGACGCTTCACGGCCGCACGCTGCACGCTTCGGGCTCGCCGCTGCACGCTCCGTGCTTGACGCTCCACTCGCCCGCTTGCCGCCCACTCGACAACTCGCCGCCCTCCACGCTTTGCCCGACTGCTGCCCGCAGCCCTGCCGGTGTGCCAGGCGCACGGACGCTCGCCTGTCAAGGGCGGCCAGTGCTTGGCCCGGCGCTTTGCCTGCCCAGCTCCTTGCCCGCCGAGCGCTGCAGCTCGTGTTGCGGCGCCAACCGCCTCCCGCCTACCGCCTCCCGCTTCCCGCCACCTCGCTTCGCTCGCCGGGCCGCACGCCACGCCGGGCCGCACGCTTCACTTGCCACCACTCGTTGCGCTTGCGCCTGCTGGGCACCAGGCTGCCGTCGGGCCACGCGCACACGCTGCGCTCTCTGCACCGCTCTCTGGTCCATCGCTGCGTCCGCTGCGTCTTGCCCGCCGGTGCCCTCAGCAGGCCGGTCAGCGTCTGGCCACGCATGCGCTCCCTCCGCCGCCTCCTTGCAATTGCGCACTTTGCCCGCCTCGCTGCCCATCTCGCCCTCTTCTGCTGCCGCTTGCCCGCCGCCGCTCTCCACGAGAAGGCTGCGGCGCTGCCAACGACGCACCGCTGCGACACGCCCTCTCTGCGCTCCAGGTCCTGCCGCTGCCGAAGCTGCGCTCTCTTGCACCGCTCTCTCTTCGCTTCAAGTCCTGCACGCTGGCCATTGATGCCGCTGCGCTGCGCGCAGCAGGCTGCACCTCTGCGGCCTTTGCTCAGCGGCTCTTCCGCGCGCCTTCCGTGACCGAGAGCGTGCGCTACGCCTCCTGCCGCCCGAGCGCTTCTCTGTCGCTCTGGCCGCCTCTTTGTGCACCCGTTGGCCGCTCAGCGCCACGGCCTTCGTCCGCCGACGTCTCTCGGTTGCGCTCCACCAGCAGCAGCGCA